CCCTCCCCCGCCACTTCACCTCCTCACTGCCTTGTCCAGATTGCTATTTGCTAGCAATGACAGACTTACGTACCTATGCTCACTCTCCAGTTGCTGGCACCATGGGCACACTGGCCCTGTGACCTGTGGTCTGACTCCACGCGTCTGACACTGACACACACGTGCACACAGAATGGAGTCCCCCTGACCCAGGAAAATAGAAATTGAGTTTGAGAAGAAGACAGGACAGGCTGTGCAGTCATCGGATGCAGGACATGGCCAGACAAATGTACTGACCATCAATCCATTGACATGTGACCAGACACTTTTATCCCATTTTCCCATTTTTTGTTCCTCCCCAAACCACCTTGATGCCTCTTTCCTCACCTTTTAGTTCCTCTGTGTCGTGGTTTAACCCCAGCCAGCAACTAAGCACCACACAGCCACTCACTCCCTCCCACCCAGTGGGATGGGGGACAGAATAGAAAAAAGTAGAACTTGTGGGTTGAGATAAAGACAGTTTAATAGGACATAAAGGAAAAAAATAATGATAATGATGATGATAATAATAATAATAATAACATGACAATAATAATAAAAAAATGGAATATACAAAACAAATTATGCACTATGCAATTGCTCACCACTCACTGACCGATGCCCAGTTAGTTCCCTAGCAGCGATCTGCCCTGCCCTCGCCCCGGCCAACTCCCCCCAGTTTATATACTGGGCGTGATGTCACATGGTATGGAATATCCCTTTGGCCAGTTTGGGTCAGCTATCCCAGCTGTGTCCCCTCCCAACTTCTTGTGTCCCTCCAGCCTTCTTGCTTGTTGGGCATGAGGAGCTGAAAAATCCTTGACTTGGTATAAACACTACTTAGCAACAACTGAAAACATCAGTGTGTTATCAACATTATTCTCATACTGAACTCAAAACATAATGCTATACCAGCTACTAGAAAGAAAATTAACTCTATCCCAGCCGAAACCAGGACACTCTGCTAAACATGCCATAGTAAGTCTCATGCAATCCTAAAATGCTCTGTGTTTTGCCTCTCGTAACATCCCATACTCCTAGGCAGTGCCCCTTCAGTCTGTGGCATGATGGGGAGAGCAGTTCCCATTCACTCATTCTGATGGGTGCCACCCTCAGACCATGGGGTTGATCATAAGCCAGTGACAGCCTGGGCAGAGCTGGGGAAGGGTGTTCCCTTCTCTGACTGGGTTATTGGGGTTCCTCTGCCTGCCACTGTTTCTCTGTGCTACTTTATCACATAACTTAACACCTTCCAGCTCCCTGACCGGTAGCACCAGTAATGCCAGTGCATGCCAGTGCATGCTCTCTGCTCTGTGGCTGAGACCAAGGGGGTCTTTTGCCATCAGGAAGGACCTTGATGTTACTGTTCTCCCCTGGCATTGCCTGACCTCGGGTGATCCCGACTGTCCAGAGGAGGGGGCACACTTGCCTCCATCTGCAGGAACAGCACACAAGCATACCCGGGGCGAGCAGAGCTCCACCAAGGACACCTTGGCACCTTCACTGGATGCTCAGGCTCTCTTGTCCCCTGCCTGCCACAGACCAGCTAGTCAGACTAGCAGCAGATGCTTGTTAGAGTAATTAGCTCTGGCAGGGCAACCTAATCTTTGCTGGCCAGACAGATCCAGGAAATAATCTCCTGCAAATCTCATTCCACTTAAAGTCCTGCCCAAAGCTGTAACCAGCTGGACAGCTGGGTGGGCTGCAGCTCTCTGGCAGCGCACACTGCCCACACCCCAGGCCCTCAGCCAACATGACTCAAGGCTGAGCAGTGGTGAGTCCCTCCGGGCTGCAGCTGTAGCTGCTGGGTCAGTCCAACACAGGCTGGGGCAGCTGGCTGGGCGGTCTGGGGCAGCCAGGAACCAGGAACGGGAAGGTGGGCCACCCCATAGGTGGTGGGCCAGGGTGAGGGTTGGGACATGGGAAGGGCTGCGTGTGCAGGTGCAGGACAAGGAAGCAGCAAGGGCTGCATGGCTGGGAGCACAGTGCAGCAGACTAGAACAGCCAGATGTGGCATGGGTGCAGGGACTGCACTCTGCCCTGCAGCTGCTCATTCTGGTACTGTCAGGGCCCCACACACCTCCCTGCATGTTCCCAGTCTTTCTTTCCTCACAAGGTCCTGGGAAGGGACAGCACCCAGGGCCACCTCCAGCTGGGCAGACCCATGCTTTGGCACTACCCTCACACATAGGACGGGTGTCTCCCAGCCCTGACAGGCAGCTACCTCCTTGTGGTTCAGGAGCCTTCCTGTGGCACAGTGGAAAGCTCTTCCTACCAACGAGGCTGGGGGCACAGGGCTTGGCTGGGTGTGAGGGGATGCTGGGCTGTTCCTTCCAAACCTTCTCTGCTGCACTGGGCCCCGTGTCCCCTGGCCCCCAACCCCTAATGGCTGCCCTGCACCCACCATGCCCAGCCCTTTCCCCTGTGTTCCCAGGCCACTGTGTCCCCCCACACAGCTCCCCTTGCTCGTCCCCCTCACCCCGCAGGGTGCAACTGCACGGCTTCAGGCAGGCAACCAGCTCCAGCTGCTGCAAACCACACAGCGCCACATGCATGGAAACTCTACATGTGTTTCTAATTGTAGGGACCAGAAATGCCCTAGGGCTTCGCACAGACGTTCATGCTATGGGCAGCACCCACAGAGGAGTGCTGGCATCCTGCAAGGAGTGGAGATGGAGCAGCAGGTTCCTGGAAGACACAAGAACTAGCCTCAAGGTGGCAAGGAAGTACCTAGGAGGCCAGACAGGGGCTTGGGTGAGCCTGAGGAACGCGGGCTGAGGTCCCAGCGTCAATGAGATGCTGAGTGGTGTTCTGTGAACAGTAAAGATGCTGATTAAGCCCCAGTGGGTCTCCTGGCTGCCTCCCTTCACCCAAAGGGAGCAGGGCCAAAGGTCTGCAGCAGACACTGCCCGCCTGGGCAAGTGGCATCGCCACCTCTCAGCTGCACCCTTGGTGCAGCTGGAAAAGCACTGCCTGTACAGCAGGGCTAAAAGCAGGAAGGTGAACAGCAGGACTGCTACAGCCCTGGCCTTTCCTAGGAAAGGACCTTCACCTACCCTGCAACAATCTAAGCATCAGCCCGCTTCTTTAGTGGTGCCTTGTGCTGCTACTGACACAAGAGAGACCCTCCGGGCCTCTCTCCCCCTGGCAGCTGCAGCTCTGGACAGCCACAGCGCAGCTCTGGCGTGGGAGGCATGGCAGCCTGGGCCAGGCAGGTGGTTTTCCCATTGTCTGTCTCTTCCTGGCTTGGACTCTGCTCTGCAGAAGCAGGAAAGCAACTGGGAACTGCTGGAGCCACGGTATGCAGCATGTCTGTGCATGTGACCAGAGCTGGGACAAGGGCTAGGCTAGCTGAGCCAAACTGGCCTGGGGCAGATGGGATCACAGCACCCTCTGCCTCACCATCCACCTCCAAAACACACCCCCTCCAGTACTGCCCTTGGACTCATGGGCAGGGGGACAATCTCCAAGGGTTACTGAGGCACCATTTCCAGAGCTCCCTTGCAAAAATTGCTTGAACCTTCCACAACCCCGAGATCTGCAAGTATAATACCACTTTTGTGATCCTAATTAGGAGAGCTCCCAGTGTGGGAACAAGTATCTGAGAGAACAAGCACAGGAAGCTGAGACCTGCAGCTCAGCAGCTGTGGGAGCCAAGTGGCTGCCTGTGACAGTGCCAGCTGGACAGCAGGCTGTATACTACTTGCTTGGCGGTGTGGTGTGGACATGACTCCTGCCGAATGGCCCATCACCACCTCGCAGCCCACTCCCATGACCGAGTGAGAACATGTGCTTATAGTCCCGAGCCTCCCCCATACCCTTGTCCCCCCATGCTCCTGACTGACTGAGACACCCAGTGCCCACAGCTTCCCCACGTCCCTGCATGCAGCCCCAGGTGCTGTGGTGTGAATGCCAGCAGGGCCAGGCAGCGGCAGACCTAGACACCCAGGGTGTGCAGATGTGCCCTGCCACCGACTCCATGCTTCCTGGCTGTTGCTGGACTCACTGGTGATGGTCAGCCTCTGTGCACAGAGGACAGCCTGGGTGCTCATGCCCTGGGGCTGCAGCCTGCTCATACGGCTCACTGTCCCAAGCCCTGGGGTAGGCACAGAGGAACAAATCCCAAGGGGGGCTTAGACCTTCCAGTCCCTTCCCGGCAGCCACCCCTCAGAGCCAGGTTCCAGCCTCATGGAATGGGGACCTCCAGCCCTGCCCTCTCTGTGCAGGCCCTGCTGTTCAGAGCATCCCTCCCTTGCCAGGGCCTGTTTCCCCCAGCAAAGATCCGCTCCCTGGTGGGGGTGCTGGGCAGGACCCCTGCCCCTCCCCAGCTGGCCCCCAGCCTGGGCTCCTCAGCCGAGTCCTGCACAGGACCCCTGCCCCAGCCTGGGACCCCCAGCCCTACGTGGACCCCTGCCCCAGCCTGGGACCACCAGCCCTACGTGGACGCCTGCCCCCCCCAGCCCGGGACCCCTACATGGACCCTGGGCCCAGGGCAGCAGCCGTGGCCGCGTCTGCCGCCCGGGCCGTCCCACCGGGCTGCTGTGTCCCGGGCTGCCGCGGTAATGGCTCCGCGACGCTCTGGGAGGCGGCCGGGAGAGGGACGGGGAAGATCGGGGCGGGGCGGGGCAGAGCAGAGCAGCACGGCCCGGACCACGCCGGGAGGCGGCCGGTGCCGTACCGGGGCAGCCTCTCCGGGCCTCCGGCAAGGGGCCTTCCCCGCCGGGCCCGTGACCGGAGCGCGGCCCGGGCCTGGCGGCGCGGCCCCACTGTGCGAAACACCGGGGAGGATCGGCTGGCACCGGTCCCGGCACTCCGGGTCCCGGCGCAGTACTGTCGGCCACAGCCCGCGGCCCCGGGGGGACCCAGGTGCCCGGCGGCTCTAGGGCCCTGCCCACCACGTGACCGCGGCTTCGGTCTCCTCATGTGACTTGGAATCATGCGCCCGCACACGTGATCAGGGCGCTGCGGCGGGAGGCGGCGGGATGGCGTGGGGGTAACGGGGACTGGGGCTCGGGGGCTTCAGGCGGGGCTCCCCGGCCCGGGGGCGACGGGGGCTCGGGG